AAAGTGAGTTAGTGCATTTATCTGACATAAGTTAATTTTAGAGATGATGCTTCACTAGCTGAATCATCCCTGAAACTAGGCTACTGCTGAAAATAAATTTTGCATTTTATAGGAGACTAAAAGAAAGTAATAACACAGATATACTGTAGAGGACATAAAGATTCCTTGAAAATACACGACAAATCTGTATTTTAGTAACTGAACATACTGAATAGGTTTTTTAACTGGATCTAAATACTATTTTGTTTTTCTGTTAGCATGCTTGAAGATTAGGATTTTTCTGTTTGAATATAGGTTTCCAGCATACCTGCTAGAAGGCAGCTCTGTGGAGAAGGACGTGGGGACCCAGTGGACAACAAGCTGTCCATGAGCCAGCAGTGTGCCTTCGTGGCCAAGGCCAATGGTATTCTGGTGTACATTAGGAAGAGCATTGCCAACAGGTCGAGGGAGGTGATCCTGCATCCTAATGAGGCTGCACTTGGAGTGCTGTGTCCAGTTCTGGGCTCCTCAGTACAAGAGAGACATGGAACTCCTGGAGTGGGTCCACTGGAGGGCTACAAAGATCCTCTTACGAGAATAGACTGGGAGATTTGACCCTGTTTAGTCTCAAGAAGAGATGACTGAGAGGGGACCTCATCAATGTCTATAAGTATCTGAAGGGAAAGTGTCAAGAGGATCAAGCCAGACTCTTCCCAGTGGTGCCAAGCAATAGGACAAGAGGGAACAGGCAGAAACTGATGCACAGGAAGTTCCACCTGCATATGAGGAAGAACTTCTTTACTGTGCAGGTGACCGAGCACTGGAACAGATTGTCCAGAGAGGTTGTGGAGTCTCCCTCACTGGAGATGTTCCAGAACTGTCTGAACACAATTCTGTGCCCTGTGCTCTAGGATGGCCTGATTGAGCAGGGAGGTTGGACCATACGATCCACTGTGATCCCTTCCAACCTGACTCATTCTGTCTAGGAACCTGTGTTAGCAAATATTTGCTCTTACAATCAAACATTCTAGAGTCTGACTTTTGAGCCCCCAGAATTTAGGATTTTAGCATTTATTTGCTTACTTATATATTCTTTCGTAATTATTTCAATTTTATCTGACATCTGATAATTTGTCAAGCTATTGATTTAATAAGATATTGCTTTCCAAATTTGTTTTCATATGTACTCTCCATCAATATTGTACTTAGATGTTTGCATTGGGAAATTAAAAGCAGGTTGCTGCTTAGAAAAAGACAAAGAGTAATAATCTTTTTTATGTCAATGGTACCGTAAGATTTTCTTGTATAGCATAAACCTCACATCTAGCACCTACAGATTCAGATGCTTAGAAGCTCTTTCATCATAAAATGTTCAAGTTTTGTTTGGATCAGGGCAGTTCTCTTACAGTCAGTAAAATCCTGTTGGTTTTCAGACCAGGATTTTCAAGAAATTTTGTGTGTTCAGCTTTAATGAACTTAAATATATGAATAAAAATTTAGACCACAATGAGGTCCTGTTTCTCATGTCTTAGGGAGTAATTGCAGAGAAAGGAGAAGATTAGTATGTATTATATCAGCTTTCCCTTGAGTGGAAAACCAAAGGTTCATTCTGATAACTTGTGTGGTATTAAGTAGATTATGCTTTGTAAGCATCAAGATTTTATACCTAATTCCTGAAGCCACAAGTAGTCTTAAAAGATGTCTAATAATAATTTGAATTGAAAATGCATTTATTGGCACAGGTGAAAGGCAAAAGGTCATGCTGATGTAGTACACGGTGCTCCTTCTTGGTTGTCCTGCACTGCTGCTGAAAAAAAGAAGACTACTTCTGCTCAATAAACTCTCAGTATATGGAAAAAAGCCAAGAGCATCCTTCAGTTAATAGGTCCCATAGTATTGCATATTTAATGGTTGGCAAGAGAAATGTGTGACATTGGGTAATACAGCATTAAGTATTTTGAATCATCTGTATGAGCATGACAAACATATGGGTTTGTATTCCACATTGTGTTGTGGGTCACCTCTTTCTCTTTATGAATGCTCTATCTCTTAAAAGAGACACTAATTACGTGTGCAGTTAAGATAAATGCTGACATTTTTCCATGCTAAATGTCCCTGAAGAATGTGTGCAGGAAGACAACTCGAACTTTATAGGTGTTTTTATTTTATGGTCTTTTTTCTCCTTTTTTAAGGAGTTGGAAACGTGAGGTAGACCCAGTCTGTTGTATAAATCTTGTGCAGTGCAGACTGGCAATTGTAGGAATTAATAACTACATTTACTAGTACTTTTTTTTTCCTTGTGGCTCACCATCTCTGACAGAGTATTTATATTCCCCAGAACTAACATTCTTTGCTTACTTGGACTTTACCAAGCCACAGCTGTTCTTACTGTGCTTTCACCAGTGCTGTGATATGCTGAGTACGAAAGGGATTTTGATCTCAGCTGCACCATTGTGAAATATAGTTTTATATGTGACGTTTCCATTGACATCAGTTGAATTTCTGTGGATTTTCATGGCTATAAGTGAGATTAGTTTTTTCAAAGCCCTACAACATCTCTTACTTAAATCCCTACCTGTTGTAGCAATTCTTTCTGGCAAAAGCTGCAGGTAATCTCATATTTAGATTTCAGTTAAAAGTTGCTTTTTGCACAGGCCCATGATTTTCTTCACAACTCTCCTTTTTAGACTGAAATTGTAAATTGCTGCTCTCAGACACTTGCAGCTAAAGCAAATAAGGGATTTGAGAACCTAGCAGGACCAATGTGTTTATCCGGCACTGGATAAAGCTTCTGCACTCCTTCTGCCACTGCTCCCGTCTTCCTCCATTGCTGCTTAATTTTGGAGGCCCATAAGCTCTTGTTCCACCTGCTGTTTTGACTAGACAACTCTGCGTTGGTGGCGATCCTGGCATCAATAACATGGTGCCTTGCTTGCGCACAGGCTAAAAGTAGTGTAGCATTCCTCAAGGATCAAAAATTAAGAGGCAGCCTCAGCTCATACCACTATAGTTCCAGCTGGGTAAGGTTTTTCACAAAACATCATACTTTCTAGGGAGATATCTTGGCAGTAGCTGCTCCTGGCTTTTTATATCATAGCTTAGCATATGTCATGTTTGCCTAAGAAGTGGAACCCATGGGAGCAATTTCCTTCTTCCTGAGGGAATTTAAATCTGTCTCGACCTCACCAAAGCATCTCCTAACTAACCAAGAACTCTCCCATCTCTGGACACCCCTCTTTTTTTGGAACTCTTCAACATGCAAAAGCAACAAAACAAGTCATGAGTGAGATGTTGTAATTGTGTAGTTAGAGGACTGGATCAGGTTAGAACTTTGAGATGTAGTTGTTACTACTAGAACTCAAGATTTTTTCCTTGATTGTTTTGTGTAATATGTGGAGTTATCCTGGAAGACTTCCTCATCTAGACAAATGCACTAACCACAAAGCTCTTTTGTAAAGGTAGAGTAGCACTGCTATTTATTAAAAAAAAAAAAAGTTGGTTTTTTTTTTGCTGGGCATCATTCTTTTCTACAATTAAAATCTCACCTGTAAGATTCTGCATTTATGAGAAATTTTGAATTGTGATAGTTTCTTCCTTATGAACAGATCAGGCCGATGTGCAATATTGCTTATGCAAAGCCAACCTGATCAGTGAAATAAACTTGCCACTTATCTAGCAACCCAAGAGTCCCACAATTTTTATGAATAGGTCATGTAATGAATTTGTGATGCAGATCTTTGGCTGGTTTTCTGCCTGGTTGGAGGTCTCATATACTCGAAGTGAGTTTGGGAAAATAAGATTAGAAATATGGTGACCATAACATTTCAGACTGCGTTATGAGATAGGCTTTTGTTCTTACTGCACAGGGAGTACAGGCACTTGCTGCGAAGTTCCAGATTCGGTTCTGAAGATCAGGAGCGTACAAGTTTGTCAAATCCTTGACTGAGTCTGCATATTCTGAATGAAATGAGTTTACTCTGAGAGTTGGGCCAGGAAAGGAAAGGAAATGTGTAATTTGCAATCAATAGTTTCTTTCCACTGTGAAACATTTTATTTTGGGGGTAAACATTTTGTTGTAACTGTGAAAAAGTTATAGGACATTCATAATGTTTTGTGGTTTGATTGTTTCCCATTTCCTTGGAAGAAAACTATAACAAAATTTGTTTACAGAGTTTAAACAAATTTCGTTTGTTAATATAGTATTCAGGTAGCGTACATAGCTGTCATAAAAATGGGGAATCCTGGGTACAAAACACCTACATCAACTTTCTACCCTGATACCTGATCATGATCAGTATTGTTGTCAAGCATGTACAGTTTGTGTAACAGGGTATTACACATGTTCTTAAAGTACATGTGTATATACTTAACAGGTAGTAGAAAAACAATTTGAAAAACTAAACCCCTTCGAAACTGAAATTGTTAGTTCCTAAGAAAAGGGGACTTGATATTTTTCTGATAGGAATAAACAGGAAAGGCACTCCCATTTTAGAAGGAAATCTTTAATGAGTGAAATTTTTGTAACAGTTCAAAGATATTGAAGTGCTATATCATCAACAAGAGTTGCAGGTAGACTTTAAGGTTTGTCACTGTAATTTGTCTCTTACTGTAGGTACATAGAGATGTCTCTGATTGTGCACCTGTCTGTTATGCAGTAAACTTTTAGTCCTGGTTTTGTTTATCAGGCTTTGTATCAGTATTTCTTGAAATACCTATAAGAATACATTTTCTAAGTGTTCTTAGTATATATTTTATACTAATATCCATCATACAAACAGGAGGTAGAAAACAACATTTCTTCACTGAATATATGACAAAAAGTAATAACATAGAAGATAGTAAGAGTCATATTTTAGCATATATCAGCCTGCCATATCTTAATTTCAGTGGGATTGATGAAAATACAAGGTGTAATTGAGTCTGTTCAGTTATCTGATTCCCTTAAAAGTTGTATTAGCTTGCTCTTTCATTAAAAATGGAGAAAAAATTCACTACATAAAAAATTGTCCCTTTGTTTGCAGGTTCAAGCACAAGTGCGACATGCAAAACTCAACTTTGACAAACTGAAGACTGATGTCTGTCAAAAAGTGGATCTTTTGGGAGCGAGCAGATGCAACCTCCTTTCTCATGTGTTAACAACATATCAGGTATCCAAGGAAAATTATGACCTGCAAAAGAAAGATCCTGTTACTATGTTTTTTTTAAGAAGTTACCATGGCAATATTCAACTGTAAGAATATGTAACTATTATTGGAGGGAAAATGTGAAATTTGCACCAAAACCAGATTTATATTAAAGTTAACATTGCATTGAAATTTTATCCTACCTTACAGACAACACTGCTTCATTTTTGGGAAAAAACTTCACACACGATGGCAGCCATCCATGAAAGTTTCAAAGGTTATCAGCCATATGAATTCACTATGTTAAAGGTAAGGAATATGTAGATATGTATGTTTGCCCCATGATAACAAATAAGATCATACAAGGATGTAGGAAGCACATATTGATATTGTGTTCATATCTTGTCTGACAAGTTTATCCCTGTCTTGTCTGTTCATTTAATTACAATTTTTCTGTTTAATGTCCTTTTGACTAGTAGGTTCAAAAACTGCATGTAAAGTGCGGTGATGAAGGAATATTTCAAAGGGAGACATTTATTAAGGGCTGCACTTAATTATGTGTTTTAAATGCTGTGGGATTGTGTTTGATTTTTCCTAAGGAATTGTAAAATCCAGCAGAATTAGGGGTTTATGTTGTTCTCCAGAATCCTACAAATGAATTAATACTATTTTGCCTTTGCATCTGTTTTTAAAATCTCACACTCTTAAAGAACATATTATTGGACTGAATATGAGTAAGTGGATGCTCAGGGTTCCCATAGTTTACTCACTTTTGAACCCTTTACTGGGAAATACTGTTTTGCTTGACTAGTGGTATTTGCTGATCCTTTGTAATCTTTGAATATGGCATATGTGCAATATCTGATGGAAGTCTGAGATCAGAGTTTTGTGAAGTATCTAATAATAACCACTAAGCATTGTGTATTTTCCTGGTCAGGCCTGTCCCTGCATATGAAGTTGCTTTATGTGTTGCAATTCGAGGTTCACTAGAGGAATGGAAAAACAGTGGAAAACTCTGTGAACCTTCCTCATAGATGTATTTGTCCTGTAGTTATTTTGGGCAATGAAATAACTATGTGATTGGCCAATACTATTTGCATGGGAGAAAAATAACATACGTCTGACAGAGGTCTGATGGAAGGGTAACCTCTGGGAAGAGAGTGAGGAATGAACAGCATGTGGCAAAGACACTCTTTGCTTGGAGAGACAATGCACTTTGAAAGTGCTTACAAGTCATAGCCTAATCCCTGAAATGCTTGGGCGTATGACATGTACAAGTAGAAGTCGGGCTATGTTCTGCTATATAGCCTGTGGCTACCTCAGAGCTCCTGGAAAAGAATCACCTGAAGGTTTAAGGTGTAATTCACTCCAGAATACCAAACTTGTCTGTATATGACTGCTGTGTTTAAAGATGTTTTCTAGAATGTGTGTTGGGAGGGAGCAGTTTCTGAACTTTGAGGTGCATAAAGAGCTTGTGGAGACTGTTACTTCTGCAACTTGAAACATCACAGCAAACCAATCAACCAAATTTCAAGCTCAATCTTTCCTGATTGAGGACAAAAATAAAAGGAGATTTTGTGTTATCCAGCCTCTGAAGAATCCTGTCTTGCAGGAAAAGTCCTCTTTTGCTATGAAGTTAACATAACTTTAAGATTCTTTCTTGCATAGTCTATATCACAGAAGATGGGTTTAAGCCAGAGTTTATGTCCAGATTTCAACAGGAGACAGTTGGGCACAGCTATCTTGACATTGCTAGTAGTTGCCTTTAGACTCACTCATTAAACACCAAACTAGAGAAGAAAGTACCCTTTACTTCCGCACTGTTGCTTCCCATTGCAGCCTGGGTTTAGCATGGCCAGAGTCCTGCTCAGGAGCCTGGACACTGTGCTAATGGGCTGTTCTCATAACTTCCCCATGTTAAAAGGTTTCTAAGGAATTTTCTATGTCTGCTTTGATACAAAGCTATTCCAGTCTAATTTGTGTAGGTAGCCTATATTGTTGCTGGGTATTTATTCTTTATTCTCTTTTATATCTAAAAATATTATTTGAACAAGACATAAGATGTTTCAAGACGTATAGTAACATTTGCATACCTTGGAGAGAAACTTGTACAGAAAATGCACCTGTTCTGGAGTGCAAAGTATCCTTGTGACGGAGGATGAGAGACATGTGGGGATGCTTGTTATCTTTTGAATTTCCTCCTGTGAAACATTTCAGTATAATCTAAATTTGAAATTAGGTTGGGAATCTATGATGAAAAAATACTGTCTATATTGAGTCCACATGTAACAAGCACTCCCTTGAAGCAAAAAGTATCTGCAAAAATGGTTGTGAATATTGCAGGGTGTTTAGGATGCAGCCTAACTTTGTTATGAGAATCTTAACCATTTTTATTGCTGGCCTCCTGCACTGAAAGATGTGATTTCCTGGTTTTGCAGTGATATGTATGCTGCTAAATGATGCTAATCAGGAGGTAGTTTTATACTACAAAATTTCATGTAAGTCTGTGCTTTCAGAAAACAAATATTTGCGAGTAATTCTATGTTACTAGCTTTCAGTATCAGTTCTTTATTTCTTTCAGTCTCTAGAATGTGGGATTGTTTTCTATACTAGAGTCTTCCCCATGATCTCTTTGCCCCAACTGTTAGTTTCTGTTTGTGTACATTAAATGATTGCTAAGGAGATTAAATCAAAATCTGGTGGTTGCATCAGGTGAGATTGTGTAGCCTAGGAGAATAGATGTCTGCTGCTACTTCAGGTGCATTATGAGGGTAAGTCATCTCACCTCTACTTGTCACTTCTGAAGGTGTGGGTCTCCCATGAGTCCCATCTCTCCTCTGCTAGACCTGGGTGTGGAATAACAATGGATGATTATGGTTAGGGAACTGACCCCTACCAGTCATATCATATGTTCATACCAGAGTAACTATATATTAAGAAGGAGCTGCAAGCTAATTCTGCATTGAGATTATTTTTTAATGAAGTATAATAAACGGCTATGGCTGATCTAGGGTAGTATAGTTTCTGATGGAGAAACTTTCCATCTAAAAATGTACCCAATGAAGTTGCCATGTCTGTTGTTGACTTTACGCATTAAAATATACAATCAGAATATATAATTGCTTCAAATATACATAAAATATCTCAGTGTGCCCATTTCTACATTTGATTGGGATTTACCTGTGGTACATTTACCCCTTTTAGAATATTTTTCTCTGTCTTATATCATAAAAGGGATCCTTCTTAAAAGAAAATTCTGAATTCAATGCTTGCAAATCATTTTTGTCTTTTATGATTCCATAAAGGACAAAATTTTTCTCATACAAGTAATCCTTCTGAATTAAACTAAGCATTTATGCATGTAGGATTAGTGTTTTACTTTAAAACAAGAAATTAAGGAAACTGTTAATATTTGACTTAGATGTAGACTGTCTTGCTGAAAAATTAAGAGGTGCTATGTACTGGAAAATTGCTATTTGTATTTTGTAGTATAAATATATGTTCATGTACCAGGTTTACCTCAGGAAAGAGACTCTGGAATGCCACTTGGGATTGTTTCTGGAAAGAAAACATTGTCTTTAGAGATGTTTGCCAAACTCCCTTAATGAAAAGCAGCCCATTTGTTTTCTTTGCTTCAGGCTATATGCTGAGAGTAGTATAATTGTGCTATTGCAGCTGTATTTCCCAACTGTGAGTTTTATGCTTGATGAAAGATGATTATTAATGTGCTAACAACTCCATGTATAGTGATGGAAAAGTATCTGTTACTGTATCCATTGCTGTAATATTACCGATGATGGGCTGCTGTTTGGTAAACCTTCGAGGTATCATTGTCTCAAAATTAACTTATATCAAATGAATTCCAGTTTATTTCAGGGGCTACTTTTCATGAATAATACCTCTTTCTAATTTCTGTCACCATTTATTTGCCTTGGTTACTTAATAAATATTTAGTTGCACTTTTTACATTTCAATGCTATAATACCTGAAGAGATCATACAAGGCTAGAAATAATAATAGGCCTGGTAAAGGAGTCAAAAGATGTAAATCTCAATGCATCCATTTATTTCTGTTTAAAGTGGATTGCTGCTGCCTGTGCTCCTTACATGGTTTGGAGCACTCTGTCCAAACAGATGCTACAACACTGGTGCCTTCTGCTAACCTCTGCTGTAGTCTGGTATCCTTTTTTGTTTCTGTTCATCGCACCATGACTTTATTCATAGGCATGATTGGTTATGATTTTGTATCTATAAGGGTTTTGGGGAGATTTGGTATTTTTTTCCCTGATGAATGTCCATGAAGAAATTCTGAAACTACCTGCTTTTCTGCTTCCCTTTCAGCTCTCCCCACAAATGAAACATATCCGAGTTTGTGTCGCCTCAGTGATGTTGCACTTCTTCATAAATGTTGTGATGTCTTGGGGTCCATTCCTGGCTCCTGTAACTACCCTTAGCTGTGTTGCTTTGATTCTTTCTCAGTCAAGAGGTGCATTAGTTGTCCAAGGCACTTGGGGGGAACTGTAGGCGAGCTGAGTGTGTTGTCAACACTGCTGATTTAACTGCAGAGGGCAGGTTTTGTGTGCAGTCCAGATGATCTTGGCTTGACTTGAAAGCAGCAGATGCAGGTGAAGGAATTTAGTCAGTCAGCCTCGGAATGGAGCCTGAGCTGGAATTAGAATTAACTCTACAGGGAAGGAATCACTTGTCAGCTTAGATATTTGGTCTGAGTACCGTGAGCAAGCAAAATATCACTGGATGACTTTTGGTGTTGGAGACAGAAAAGTTAGGCAGAGTGAATGACTGTGAACCTGCTCTGCTAGTGTGTACTGTCTTACTCTTATTTTTATAGTAAAAGAGAAATTATGGAAGCTAGGAAGATAGCTTTCTAAACATGCAAGGATCCTACTTTAAGCCACATACTGGCGTAGCTCACAACAAAATCCATGTTAGTCCATGTGAGCAGCCATGTGAAGCTACACATCTGTCTGCTCTGAGCAACAAAGTCAAGGATATGTCCAGCTGAAATGGAATTGCTTTTGTTTGAACTCAGTCTGTGTCTTTACAACCCTGTGTAATCACTGCAGTTTCTAGGTAATGGAGCTTCTTCCCTTCTTCGAATGTAACCTGAAACAATTAAGAGAATATCATACTTTGATTTTTATGCCTCCTGACAGTAGTGATCACATTTTTGTGGGTTCATGTTTAGAAAATGGTTGACAGTGTCCTTTTAACACTCAGTTTTATTTCATACCCATTCTCTATCTTTTTAAAATCTTTTTTAAAAAATACCTTAGTTTGTAGTGCACATCAAGATGTGGAGTAGAGAGAGGCAGGGGAGAGGAAAATAATTTCATTATTTGCTATCTGATTTTGAGGGAATAGTGTCAGAAGCAAATTCTTATATTGAATTATTGTATCAAAATACAGCTGCTGATTTTTAACAGTTTTGTCATAATCTCCATTGAAACTGAAGCTATATTTCAGAGCTGTGTTTATTTTTCTAATACAGGAAATAGTAACTGCCATTATTATCATGCTGTTTCCTTCCCAAGGTACTTCTGAACTCCATATCTATGTGCTGTGTCCGTGGATTATCACAGTCCTTTAAATATGGATTTCCTGAAACACTAATGAAGAAAGCATCATAAAGATGCTTCCTTAAAGAAGGATGCTGATTTCCCTGTATTTTTCTTGGTGAAGATGTAGAATATTCTACTTCTGATAATTTTCTTTGACTTGTATAATTAGGCAGTGATTGAAGGAGTTCTATTTGTTGTTCAAAACCATTACAACCTTCTTGGGGCAGGCTCTGTGGTGCTATACTGGATGGCAGGCAGAGCACCCCAGCTTGTTTCACCATTGCCTCCTGATTATAGTGGACTGTATGTCCTACTGTGAATGTGTCCAAGGTGGTTCAAGTGCCCAAAGCAGTACAGTCCCCATAATGCAGAGGTGCTGTCTTTCTCTACACTGCACTTTTGTGCAAGGAGTGTATATCTGTATGTTTTTGAACTCTAATCCAGGTCTTCTTGGAGTCAGTGGAATAATGCCCATCAATTTTAATAGTACGAGAAATGCACTCGAATCAATACCCAGTACAAATGCAGGTAAAAGGGTGACATTCATTCATAGGTGGTCTAGCTGAGCTGTCTAATGTCCCTAGTCAGAATCCAAGAAGTAGGCTTACATGTGATTCTGGTTAACACTGTCACAGTGTCAAAAAAAAAGTGGCAACTCACAGAATAAGGTAAACTTTTTTAATGCCTTTCTTTATTATTGCTGCTTTATGATCCCTCATCTTTTGACTATGATGTCTGCAAGCTAAGGCTGCTTATGACAAATTAATCAGCAGTTCTAGGTAGAATTAGATAAAAGCAACTTCAGTACAGGATAGATCCATAAGTTTGGTTTCTAAAACACTGAAGTGTAGATTTCCTCATACAGACAAGTACTGACCCAAGCAGAAACTGGAATGCCCCTTCTGGGGACTCCTCTGTCCTGGTTAACAGGACAGTGCACACAGGACCTGTAACATGTCTGAGAATACTTTTATTGTGACAGATGGCCTGGGCACTCTAACTGTTATTCCACAGATTAGGCCGCATTTTTTTCTTTGTTTTACATTTCTCATGAAACATGCTATCGTTTTGTTCAATTTCCAGGTGAAAAACCACTACATTTTGTGTTTATTAAGTTTTGCACAAAAAGTCACTTCTTTGTTTTACCCTTAGCTTTTTGGGGGGCAGAAGGAAAAGTTGGGGTGAGATGCACTACTATGACTATCAGCGTGACATAAATAAATTTAATTACAAATGGTTGGGACTATTCACATGAAACATGGTTTTATTTTTCAGAAACTGAGTTGGGCTTTGGAAAGAGGAAAATTTTTTCACCTTCACAGCAAAACCATTTGATAGAGACAAATATTCACTTGCTAACATCTGCTATTACTTAATTACTGTGTTCATTTTTTCAAATTTTCATACAGAATTCCTAATTAATGCATAAGAGGGGCAACTGGTAGTATATTTATCACTTGAAGAGTCAGTCTGTAATGCTTTATGTGTTGGCCTGTTCACTTGTTCTAATTTTGATTATGAAAATGTTGACCATGAAACTGCACATGTTTGTCTTATAGCACGGTTTTTCAGATTGCAAAAGGACAGTAGGGTTTCATAATACCACACCTGGCTTCTATCAGACTAATCTTCCAAGATTTTAACCCTTGTTTTCAGATTCAGGATACAAGTAGTATCTTCTCACTGCATTGTAATTGCCAAGTTTGTGTGAATAGTTGTGGAGGAAAAAAAGAGAATAAATAAGAGAAGAAGCAGTATATGATGAACAAACAGATGTAAAGAATTATTTTTTCTCATATTTTAAAAGACAAACAAACAAAACAAAACCCAAAACAAACAAACAAACAAAAACAAACAAACAAACAAAAAAAAAAAAAAACAAGAACAAGGAGGCAAAAAAGAGGCCAAACCCCAAAACAGCAAATAAACATGCTGTCAGTGCCTGCTTTGCACACAGAATAGATGGTTTTACTTAGAAATCTTGCAAATATTTACTGAAAAATATTGGAAACAGAACATGAATTTAGAAGTGGCTGAGTGTCACCTTCTTATACCAAGTGTGTTCACAGACTCGACTGAATATCTTCTACATTTTTAATTTTGCTTCATTGAGTCAGATATAGCTCAAAACCATTCTTGCTAATTCCTGTTGGTTTTATAATCTGATTTAGCCTTAAATGACACACTTTTGCTTCCCTGATTCTAGTTTGTTTTCTTCTCTTTGTTTATATTACGGTTATGGTCTAGAGCTTGCAAGATCCTGTGAATAAACTAACAGAAAAAGCAGAAAAGGAGGACCTGCAGATTGAAAGCACCAATTCAGTGGAAGATCAGCAGAGTCAGTAAGTCACATGTCCTATATATTAACATAATAATATTTTTGTTTATAATCTGCTTTGTGGTTGTTAAAGTCACCAAAACTAAGTAGAAATATAAGTAGAATTATAAGTAATTCTAAAATAAAATTAGAAGTAGAAATATAGACACAGCTAGTCTAATCCTACTAGTTAGCTCAATACAAGAATTTCTGAAATGTTGTAATGTGTGAAAACTAATTAACTTTATGGTGAAATTAAGAGCTTTAAAGACCCATTAAACCCTTACGTGTTTTTCATCTTTCCTAGCCTTTTTTTTATTTTTATCAGCTTTTACTTTATTTTTTCTTTATTAAAAAAATGGTAAACAACTATACCTGGGAGAAGATATATGAGCTTTGTATTTTACCTTTCAGCAGCATCTCCTTTCACCTGGGAATAGGATATAGATTACTGATTGCTCTGAGCAGCAATCAGTTTTTGTAATGTATACACCATCAGTTAGTAATCCAATGAAGCAGTAGGTACTTAGTATAAAGTACATCTAAGTGAGCTGATGCTGTCAAGGTTTGAGTTACCTGTAACTCTGAGGTGAGAGAGACTTATGAATGGACTGCTATGGGGAGGGGAGAATGGGAGAACGGGAGAATGAGATGCGATCTCTCCCCTACCTGACCATCAGGATTCAGTTGCCAGGAGATGCAATGTTGATATAATCCCGCTGCCACCTGTTGTTTTGACTGTCCTTGCTTCAATGAAGTACGCAGCAAAGGATCAGTTGTCAAAAAGCAGAGAACAGCTTGACTGATTAGTGGATTTTGCTCAGCTATTTATAATAATGGATTTTTAAAGAGTTCAGGTTTCAGTCCTCTTTCTGGTTTAGATTCAGAACCACCGACCAAAACCAGTTTATAAATTGGTCAGATTTGCTGTTATTCAGATTAGAAAGGATTTGACCAAGTACCATTTGGCAGGTGGCTGTCTCCACAGCACTTCCCTTATATCTGTTGCATCTCATGTGACAATAATAAAGAATGTAATAAATAACTTTTATTTATTTATTTATTATTTTTATTTATTATTTGTATTATATTTATTATATTTATTATTTATTATATTATTTTCCTCAATGTTGAATATAAAGTTCTAGAATGAATGCATGATTTATGCAAGATACGTGCATTGACACCTACCAGCAAATGCATCAGATGCCATGTCATGGTTGCAATTGTTTTTATTTATGGATTATCTTTTACCTTGTCTGGCATAAACCTGAGGGGAAAAAATATGTCACAATTTTGCTGTCTAAAATCATAAATAAACATCTAGGACTCTAGCAGAATTACACAAAACAAAGTTTTTAAAGTCCTCATGAACTTTCCATTCACAGTAAACATTCATTATAATAGAATGTGGCCTGAATCTGATTTTCTTCTACCACAAGCCTAACTTCAAGAGCTTGGGAAGTGGCTCTTTCTGTCCTGTCGCTAGAGATAGATAGGAGGAATGTACCTACCTAGTCCTTTTCAGCACCATATCAGCCTTGTGGCTGCTTCATTCCCAACTCCTTGAATGACTTTACACAAAGTAATAGCAGTTAGAAAGTATATATTCTTCATTGAAGAGATTACTTTGTATAAGAACTGGATGTAAACCACAGCTTTTTTTTTTCCTGTTGAGAGCTTGTTTCATCAACACTGCTGATCTGTTCTTTTAGAAATCTGCTGAAATGGGACAAAACTCACCTGACTGTTGATTTTTAATTACTTGCTGTTAAAAAGAGAAGGGCAAACTGGTTGAGTTTCTTTTTGGTTGCTTTTATTTGGAGAGGGGTGGGGGAGAGGAGAAGCAGTTGTACTTCCATGATAGCTATGAAAGACCAAATGTAGAAAAGCAGAATGTACTATACTTTTCATTACTGATTTAGTTATATTAAAAATAGAAGGATGGTAGGTTTTGATAGTTGGTCTTTCAATCTAATTTTCACTTTCAACAGACTTCTACCAATGAAACACTAAAAGGTAACAACAGACCAGCATATACAGCAAATGCAAGAGTCCATCTGTTTTTACTGTTTATTTATTACTGGTATGATTCTGTAGCAATGTGACCTAAAAGAGGAAAAATTATTATTATTCTAGAGCCTTAGAATTAATTTCTCAGTCTTTTTTCTTATTCCTTCAAATTAAGGTTGATTTCATTAGAAGAGGAGAGCCATACCAAGGAATCGAACTATTCAGGTATTTTATTTCATGTTATCATAACTTCATAAGTGCTGTAAAACATGGGGGTTTTTGTTTTGTTTATTTCCTATATCAGTTTCACCCAGCAAATCCCTACGAACACATAAAACTTAAGGCCAGGAAGATTTCTTAAAACTAATCTCTTACATGTTACATCCCACTGCATTTCATTCAGTCACTCTCAGATACGTCAAATAGCTTGTCTTCTGAAGCCTAATTCTTACCTTGGGCATGTACCCTTCAAGAAGGTATTCTGCAGGTTAGTAGGTGTTGAGGCAAGGGAAGTGTGCCACTTAGCTCACTAGTTTGTTCCAGTGATTAAACATGTACTCCATGAAAAACTTGATGAATTCAGTGGAACTTCTGCCCAAAAGCCAGGCAAAGTCATATTCAGCTGCTGCCAATGGGTTGTTTATTACACAGTAACACAGCCAGGCTCCATTTGGAGGTGCATAGTGAAAGAATGGGATGCAGTGGGCACAAGTGACAGGAAGGGAAATTCTGAGTACATACTAAGAAAAAGGTGCTTACAGTGAGGGTAGTGAAGCACTGGGAAAAGTAGAATCTTCACGCCTGGAGATCTTTGAGACAAAATGACTTCATAGCTGCGAGGCTTGGATAAAATCACCCCCACCGGTCTCTCCAGCCTAAACAATTCATGGCTTTTAATATACCTTTTTCTACTAAATTAATGGAGAATAATTTTAGTATGTCATATTTTATCCTCCATGAAGATACTTAAAAGATACTACATGAAAATCAAGACTCCTCTCAAATCTTTATTTCAACAGGCTAGCCATATCAAAGAATATGCCAAGTTGGAAGGGACCCACAATGTTGATGTCTTGAAGACATCTGCTTTATTTTTGAAGGTTTTGTTTCCACTCCACTTTACAAATTCCTTTTCAAATATATAACTGTACAAGAGATTTCTGATATTGTTCTCATGTGTCATGTTTTTAGAAGGTAAAATCACATTCCTGTTTCTAGATTCAAGAAGGACATCTCATTTTGCTGCAACATCAAGTTTAAAACTCATATCTGAATTTGTTGTTTATCAAGACTTCAGTTCCTTTTGGTCACAGCTTTCCAGGACTCATTTATCCTTTCTAAAACATGGCGTATATTCCTTATGCCTAGAGGTATAACTTACAAGTTGGTGGTATTAAATTCCTCCAGCTCTGACTACAGAAACTGATTGACTGGCCTGACTGACCACCTCTAATAGTCTGTTAGTTGTTTGCACATTTTTTTCAAGAGTGATTTTGTATTTACTTCCAGATGACTGCTAAAGCCATTGAATAGCAATGGATAAAACACTAAGCCTTGCAGATCTAAACTAGAAACACTTCTACTTTGCAATTATTTCTCCTAACAATGTGTTTTTGACATCTGTTAGTTGTCACGTTCCTAATCCGTTCAATATGTTCGTTATACATTTTACTCAGTGCTAACTTTTAGCTGGAAGGCTCTGCAGTGCAAAGTCAAGTTGTTTCTAAACAAATATCTTTACTGAAAAATAGCTCACGGTTTTTATCACAGAATTAAATTAGTTGTGTTTTTTTAACTAGATCTACTTTCCATAAAAAAACAATAAATTATTATAGGAGCATTTATTATGCTCATGTTCTTTTGCTGAATCCTATACTGAATGGCATTCTGTTAGTGTTTTAACTAGGAGTAATGGTGAGCTACCAGCCCCAAGTTGCCTACAATTACTTGAGTCACCCTCTTTAATTACTTTTGTTGTTTGGATGGGGGTTTTTTGTAGTAATGACACAATATTAGGACATTTCCAGTGTTTTGAAGTTTCACCCATTTTGCAATTAATTAGATCAGGTATATCTTTGACAAAATATTTTAATATTCTTGGATATAAAATCTGACTTATATTTTCTTAGCAGATGTTTTCTAGAATCTCAGTTACTTATAGACTGTAAAATATTTCACCGTAATATAAATACCTTGTTCTGTCTCTTTCTCTATCACCCCTAGAAGGAACTGAAGTGTTTTGAAATACTTCTGACTGCTCTGCTAAATTTTTCCATCTCCATACACTAGCAGGTCTATGCCATTGCTAAGATTTTTTTTTTTCCTTAAACTACCCTTTATGTTCAAAAGTCATACGGATGTAGTGCCTCTTGTGAGGGAGCCATGTTGCTTCTTAGTTTTCCTCACCAACTACTTCTACTTCATAATGTCCATTTTTTTATCATTTGCTCTGCATTTTCCCTTAATATACTATGGACGTCTTCAAGATTCTCTCCATGATGTTTACCATGCAACTAAGGCAGGCTTCCAGCACAGCTGTACCTTTTTCATTACAGAATTGTGGCCATCCATATCCCACCTGTCATGAACTTCTCTTTCTGATTTTGTTTTCCCCTCTACCAGTCAGTCTAGGATTGGCTTTTTCCCCCCTTAGCTCTATGCATTGTCCTTTTATGAAAGCATCATGTATATTTGTTCATGTGTGTTTATGCCTCTCCTATCTCAATCTGTACAGAGTGCAATCAGATGAGATCATGGGTTCTTAAATGACCAGCTGATTCTATTTATGATAGCACCTTTCTGTCCTAGCAAAGCCTTATAAAAATAAAATTATATCAACAGCAAGCTGTTCTGTTTCCTTTAGTTCTGAACACACCTTGAAGTTTCTCGTGGAAGGTTTTAGCATTTCTCTTGAAAGGGTTTGGGATTCCATTTTTATTCCCTGTAGAGAGTTTTATTTCTCCTTTCCAGTCTCTCGTGTGAGGCTTCCAGCAGATGGGCTTTCCAGATCTGGCAATACTGTGACCAAACCCTTCCTTTGCCTTTAGAGCTACATAGTTGTCTAGGAGCTAAATTTCCCCAATGGTTAATGGTGGGAGAAAGGCATTTTCAGCATGTGGCTCATCCCTCCTGCTTTGCTATATGTCTTACATGGGATTAATCACCTGAAGGAGTTGTCTTTCTCTTCACTGATAGACAGAATCGAGATGATTGTTTTGACTCCATGTCTCATCTGTGAAACTTGCTGAGAGTTTAAGGTGGTGGTGTTTTGTCACCTCTAGTTTATAACCCTCAGGTATACATTTTCCCTCCCATTGTTCTTAGCCCATATACTTTCCTGCAGAGGAGATGTTGTTACGTATATCCTGACCTGGGGTACTTTGTGGGAAGATTCCTTTCCCCTGTTCCTGGAGTTGGTGTTAAGAGGAAGAACATACTGCCAAGGAAGGCAGTATTTAGAGAGTGACAAGGTCCTGGCACATTTGTGCTCCCTCCTGGCCTAAGTACAAGCCTTTAAAAGAGATGTCTCTGCTTCTAGAGGACAGGAGAGACCTGTCTGATTCTTGCAGTTGCCTGAGTTGGGTGCACTCAGCCTGGAGAGGGCCTAGGGTGGAGAGGGCAGGGATTCAAAGGAAGATCCCCCCTTAGGTTATTTATTAGTCAGCAATTTGCCTCACTTCTTTGAAATGCTTGTATCTTGGCTCTTTCATCCATTGTGACCGGGCTTATTTTAAACATGGCTCATTTAAAACATGAATACCAACCATCTTGCATGTTGATCTTATAGTGATGTTGTTTATAAGCATAGTCTCCTGCAGAGTGCAGTTTGACATGCTTATGGATCTTGATTACAGCTGACGATGGCAAGGATGTCATCTCTATGTTACAAGGAAATTGTAGCCACAAGCAGAACTCAGGTGAAGAGACTTAAGAAAGCTACCTTTAGATGTATACATACTGATTGTCAGTGAGCCGCCAATCTTCCTGTTGCTTTTAATTTTTTTTTTTAATTTGTTCTTTCTTTTTTTTCTTTTAGGTGCCATAGATGACTTATTAGACCTGCAACCTGAAGAAAATGGTATGAAATAATTGTGTATGTCTGTTTCATCTGCTTTTCCATCATAGTCACCAAGTGTAACTTTATCTTAGTTCTTAAGTGTTTTCACACTCTGAAAGGTTGAATGAAATTATTCTACAGCACTATTTAAATAGTGTTAAAGGAAACTCAGCAGAGGCACTACTCCTGATGTCGTAATATGAAGTAAACGTTACTGGGGATAAAATGTTTTGTACCAGCTAATTCAAGATTAGGTAGACTGGACTATATCCTGTTTGCCCCGCTGAAGAGGGCTCCACTGTAAAACTTACCCCTTCTACAACATTTCACAAACTTTTCTTTTTGGTTCTTTAATTGTTGAACTACAACTCTTGGGAATACACTAGTAACCACTAGATTTTTTGTTAGAAATGTACATATCAGAAACAAATAGTTTAGTCCTCTTAAAACCATATAAGAACTGGTGACTTCTTCCAGCTAGAGAGTTAATTAAATCCATTATGCTGTCTTTATGCTTCCATGATAGCTCAAGAGGATGTGCTGTTTTACCATATAACGTGTGAAAGATCTGGGTAAAAGTTTTATATTGAGTTTTCATATGAAGTCAGAGTATTACCTATAATTTTTCATTTGCTTTTCACTCATATATCTCAGAAGAATGAGTAAAAAAACTTCAACAACAAAAACAACTGTGACAACTCAAAAAGCAAATGAAGAAAAAGAAAAAAATCCCTTTGTGTGGTTTAGTCAGTCAGACTGAGAGTGTAATTGTATTTAAGACTCTGCCTTCATGGTAGGTAAGGTCATTTGCAAACACCTTGACTTTGGATTTGCCACAGGCATTCTCTTGCACTGGGGGGAAATTATCCATGTGGGGAATCACCCATGAAAGCAGAAACAGGGATAGTTCCTCAGCTGTCTGTGCAGAAGCAGCCCTAATCTGTGGATAGATAAGGTAGCAATTACTTCTTTTCTGTGGTTAATAAAAAAGGTCAGTGCATGTCTGATAGTGGCATTTTTTTTCCCTGGTTTTCTTCTTACTCAGTTCCATTCCTTGTTGGGCCTTCTTAGTGGAGATACAGAAAATGCATACAGTTATTGCTCATACAAGTTTAGCTGTGTCGTTCTTTTTTCTTTAGTCAAATAATTAACTTGATACAAAACCTGTTGTGGAGTGTCTGCATCAGCTAAGGATGGCTATGGCACTTTTAAAATATCAGCATTTGCCCTTATTTTACACACTAGCTAGTTTTAGGCTATTGAATATTGCATTATTTTAAGTGAACCAGTATGGTTAGAGGTACACTTTCATGCGTGTTTCAGAAGGAAGTCTTAATCCTATGTCTTAATCATGTACTGTTGTAATTTTTTTACTTTCTCTTCACTTTTTCTTTTCTTTTAATACGTGCAAAATGAGGCATGTTTGTGAAGGAACATGAGCATTACTAGAGGCTTGTTCAAATAACTAGAAAAAGAATGTAGTGACATTGTTCTTTCAGTGTTTTATTGGAAGTTTTGGATTGTTTTTTCATGGACATTTATAAGGCAGCATGTGCATACAGAAAAAAGGATTTTGTCTGAAAATGGGTAGTGAAAACAGAAACAGGAAAAGAGGTAATAGAAGATTTATGGATGAAGTGAGAAAGTCCATATCATTCTAGTAATCTAGCAGAAATACCACATAAGTAATATCTCAGTAAGCAAGACTGGTTTCTAGATAACCTTTATTGCAAACAAGGGTAGAACTTGCAGCTGCTTACTCGAGGTAGCCTGAGCGTAAACACCACCCCTGCCCTCCCCTGCGGCGGGTGCACAGTCCCCACAGGAACATCAGAAAGACTGCTGAGCCAAGAAATGTGTCACTCCTCAGATTATTGGTGGTCATTACACACTGCAGCAAGACCTAACTGCTCTTTAGAAGTAAAGCTCTATGTTGTACTTTCTCCTCCGGTAAGAATGGGACTCCTGCAGTGGTTACCCCAACAGAGCAGAGCTTTGCTCTGAGCTGTGCTGCTGCAACTGTTCCGCTCTGGGGCACTTGTGGTTAGGTGCGGTGTTGGCAGTGTGTCTTAGCGGATCTGTTACAAGTGCTGCTCCTTTTGCATCTCCCCTTGCAGGGGCTTCCTGAAAGCAGCTTTGAGATGATGATGCCCCATAGAGATCAGAGTTCTTAAGTGCCTTTGAAATAGCAGGTGTGTTTCCCCTATGGGAGGATTTACCCCTCTGCCTCACCTGCTGAATAACTTGGGGGAATTGTAGATACTTGAACAACATTAATATTCTTTGCTGTTTATCTGAAGATGGGAAAACAGCCTGAAAATTCAGAAGAATAAATTGTTTTCAATGGTATTTTAGTTATAGTCTAGTGGGAACATCAGGAGAATTGATGTGTTTGTAATGTTTCTATTTCTGACTTTTAGGCCCTGTCAGGGAGTACAGAGGTATATAAAAATGTGAATTAGGAAGGAGCTGAATCTCACAACTGACTTCAGTAATGAATAAAATCCTTTTATTATGTGTTTGTTTATCTGTTTCTTAGTACGTAGGTGTGTGTGCTGACGCATGAGTCTATTTTAAAACACAGTTTTGCACTTTTTTTCCTCCTCTGACTCAACTTCAACCATTTAATTATAAATTACTACAGCTATTAAAAGGAAACTTTGCTGAAAATGCTGTTGCATTTCAGTAAAATGGCCTGTTGCAACCACTTTGCTACTGTCAATCTTTTATCCCAACCCAAAAGGGTTAAAAAGCATCTTTGTAAGTTGTATGCAACTTGGAGAGCTCAGCTGATCTACCCCAACTTTGAAAAAGTGAGGTTACTTCTGTGCCTTACTGCAAGTTTGAAACAGGCATAATTAAGATAAACTGATGTGGATTTCAGTAACGTAACATTATCAGCCTTGTTAACCACCATTTTTGTGAACTACAGACTCCCACAGTGGAGCTCCAAATGTTTCCAAGTAAAATACCACTTGGGGTTCCATGATAGTTCTTTAACATTCCAAATATATTGGAAAAGGATTATGATCCTGGTTACCAGTTTTGTGTATTTTATATAACTATTTGACACTTCTAAAATAGGAAATTTTTTTTTAAGGAATAATGGCTCAAGTGATCTAAGAGCTTCTTCAGCTGCAGTTCTGGTACTGGAAAAACTAACACAGGCAATCAGAAGGAAAGTGGGCCCCAGTTATTTCTCAGCAGCTTATGAGAAGAAAAAAATGACTACAGGTTAGAACAGTGTAGAAATCTAACTACATTAAAGTAACCTTTTTCCATTGGGAAATACCCCAATAATTCAAGCATTGGTCAGAAGGTCATAAAGATGATCTTAAGTATGTTCTTACAAAATTCTAGAATAATCCCCAACTCTTACTTTTTTTTCAGTTTATACCAATCTGATTTTTTGGGAGTTTTACATAATGTTTCAAGAAGCAACATAAAAGTAGTCTTCTCCAATTATTTAAATATTAGACTACATAATGATTTTAGTGTGTTTAATAGATTTTTAAGCCTACTTATAGTATTATTTTTAATGAGAAGTGAGTGTTAATAGCAGTGAGGTTATCTAAGATAATCAAGGAATTATTTGTTGCATAAGGTACAAACCCAGATGTCCAAGAGAATTGGGTCTAAAAGAGAAAAAGAAAATCATGCAAAAATATTCCATCTCACTTAACATACAAAACCCAGATGGGTTATTTTTTAAGAAATTCCTTCTTTCTCTAAAAAATAATTTCTCTTGACCCTCTTGTTCTGAGACAGCTTCAAAGGAACAGTTTGTGAGGTCCTTGGAGCCAGAACCTGGTGATAAGGATGACATGGTATTACTGAATGAGATCCTCAATGCCTCCTCCCTGGATGAGGGGGAATTCAGCAAAGAGTGGACAGCTGTGTTTGGACAGGTTGCTGATCTCACCATGAACTCTTCAACTAGAGATGGGGAGAACACTTCATCATCTGTGGTACCAGCACCATCAGGCTACTTGCCCTCACAGCTGCTAGACCAAAACATGAATGACTTGCAGTCATCCTTACATGGTGAGAGCTCATCTTGTTCTCTTAGTATATGTGAAGTATTAAGTACCTAAAACCTGAAGTCAAGATTACTGTCTTGAATGTTTTCATTGAGCTTCCTGAAATGTTCTGTGGGTCTTTGAGATATTTTTTTCCCTGAAACAGAAAATCTATTTGAGTGGGTTCTACTGTTTAAATCACAACTGCCGTCTCTGTTAAAGCGCCAGGGAACCAAAAATAATTACTGTATTTTGTCTGGGGATAGTATTTTTAAACAACATAGTGAAAAACAATTGCATTCATTCATTTTTTTCCTCCAAAGCATCCTGTGCGTTGCACGTACAGATATGGGTAAGGCAGAATGGGTTGTCTCATCCTAGCAAATGTACAGGTGGATTCCTCTTGCAGTCTGTTTACTGATACAACTCTTTCTCTGCGCTTTCTTCTATGCAGTTGATTCTCTTGGCTTTTCCAAGCTGCTGCTGGGGGAGAAAGAAAGAGGGGAACTGGGGCAGAGCTTTCCTGCTGCTGCTTTGGCCTTGAGGAAGGGAGGCAGGAAGGATAGGCTAGTGATAACCAGCTAAACAGCAACTACCTTCATCCTTCCCACAGTCGCTAGATTTCTCCTAGGGCTTTGCAAGCTGGAGGAGGACCTTGGCTTTTCGGGCTTTGTCCCAAGTCATTTAAATCTTACTTGTGGAAGAGTGATACAGGAAAGGCTAGCAGGCTGACTCTATCCTGAAGATTACTTCTTGGAACCCATGCAACTGGTAGAATCACACCTGATATAAAATGACCTGTCACATTTTGGCAAAAATAAGAAAGTCAAATTTACCTTATAATTAATACACTTACCACCAGCACCCATAGAGCAAGATGTCTGGGTTCACTGACTTCAGCACTTAGTTGGAAAATGGGGAAATGACATTTGTAATGATGCACAGTTTTAGATGTATTTTTATGATAAGATACATGATTTTAAGCAAGTTACTGAAAGTAGCAAGGGAATTATTATGAGATTGGGGGGGGTCCACAGCTTTACATATTTTTAAATGTATTTTACATATCAGCATAATTTACATTTTTAAATGTAAATATGTGTCTGTAGGAAAAATATTTTTGAGGTATAAACAGCAAGCAGGATTGTGTATCCTTTCTGAGACAGCTGTTAGCTCTCATTTGCACAAGGCACTGGCATTGGCTACAAAATCAGAACTCGGTTATGTTGCATTCAAGGAACACTAGAAATGGAAAATCCAGTCCAGTCAACATGGTATCCCAAAATATTCTTGAATTAAAAAAAAAGAATAAATCTGTACTGGAAGAGCAAAATACGTTGATGTTTTCAAATGGATTTCCAAGGGTTTGGCAGAAGATCGTGGTAATTGATGTACTGGCATTTGAAAAGTCAGGGCTAATCAGCTGAGTGATTGTATCTGATAATCAGCATGTTCCCAGCTGACTTAATTTGCTGAGTAAAATGCGTTATTTAAACTAACTTTCATAGGCTATTTTTCTTTTTAAGTTTTTGTTTATTTTTTAACAGAAGGTGAAATTTGGTCCATTTTATGTCTGGTGAAAACTCAGCTTTAATCTTAAACTACATTCATTTCACTTCACAATGTCTCTTTCATAATTTGACCTTATCAATAATATGGGAACAGAGACTTTTTTCTTAAACAAACTACTAACTGACATATAAGCATATCTAGACATACAAGTAGGAAATATTAGAATACAGGGATTATATTTTTACTGAGGACTTGTGATACATCTCCTACACTTTTTTTCCTCTGTGTGGTAGGATTACTTAATAATTATTAAGTGTGAAGCACTACACTGTAGCCTCGATGTTGCATACTTCCTGTGTGAATTTGGCCTTAAGACCATAAAGATTCTTAAAACTCACATGCTTAACTTTAAGCACATTAACTTTTCTATTAACTTCAGTGGGATTACTTACTTATTTTATGTTAAGCATGCTCATAAATCTTTGGGGCTTTGTTTTCTCTCTGCCTCAGATCTTAATCTGTAAAACAGGCACAATGCTATGCAGGTTATAAACTGTTGTGGTCAGGAATTCCCAGCTCAGAGTTTTCTCTGGCTGTATTTATAGGCAGGATCTAGCACAATGGGACTTTGAATTGCTATGGGGCCACCAGGTACTGGTTTAAAATACATATAAATATGTGTGTGTGTATATATATATATATGCAATAGAAACAAAGTGTGCTCCCAACAAATCTTTTGGATTCTCCTCCAGATACAGTTTTGTGGTTTGGTTGCCTTTCTGCTTTTTCAGAGAGAGCACCGGCTTTCTTTTTTCATGATGTTTATGACCTCATTTATTTACTTACTTATATCATTAAGGGCTCCTCTTTATCTTCTCTACATGTGCATAAATTCTGGTTGGTAAGCAAATGCACAGCTCACCATTTCCATTTCTAAATTTCATTGTGGTAACGTTTGTGAAGATGCTAACTGAAAAGCAAGCTGTTTGGTTTCCTTGCTCTCTTGGCAATAACCTTTTGTCTAGTCATGTAGCAAAGCCATCCTGTGAACAGGCAAACCAAAACAGGCTTAGGGCCAGCAACTGCTTTCAAATTGATAGGCTGTGGTTTGTTTTTGAAAGGCAAAGTTGTTCTCTGTAGCTTGCTAAAGACATAATTTGTGAAAGTCTTTAATAAATTCTGTGTCAGTCTTTCCCAGTACCTTCACAGATGGGTAAGTTCATTACGAAAGCATCACGTATTTTCTGGAGCATTTTTGGTTGGATTTTTTGTTGCTGCTGTTAGATTCTTTTTGTTTTCTAAGTGGCACTTGTGCTACCTGCGTTACAGTAAACAGACACCCAGGCCACAGCATCTCTCATGGATGTGCTGCCTACCACAATTTGGTGCAGGGGCTCAAAAGGAGGGCTGCAAAGGAGTTCACTGGTATGCCAGTCACACCAGTGTAAAGGAACATCAATGATGTCTCAGGGAGCCAAGTCTTGATCTCCCTGAATTCACTGGGACTCGCACAGAATGTTTGCAGGCAGCACTCTCATTTATTTCTATCAAATTAGGATTTGCCCCTATTTGTTTAAGTAGCTCCATTTAGCCATTGTCATTCGTTGACATATCAAAACACTTTCTCACAGTAAATCTCCAAACACACAAAAAGCCTTACAGACTACTGTAGTTGTGTATAATGTCCTTTGCCATTCTTGTTTGTAACACAAGCAGAGAAAACGCCTGGAAAAGTATGTCATTCTGAAGAGTTAATGTCATAATTTTCATTATGATTCACATTTGCTTATTTGAAAGATGAAAACCTCATTTTCAGAGGGCACAAGCTGGCTCACAAGCCTGTATCACCTTTGTCTAGAACAAATACATGTGAGCACTCTGCATCCAGATTTGTAAGAAGTTTTTGGTTAGTTTCCTTAGAGACACAGAGGATGGTTGTGGCTTTAAATTTCCTTCCTATTTCATCTGATTTTACAGAAACTCTTCTTGCCTCTTTTTAATAGCACAGCTTGGGCTTCAAACCTTTTATAGTCAAGGTAAGATCAGATAGTGATGAGAATAATCTATTAGAGAGAGGAAGGAATGATGTGACTTACGCGGCTCTTGCAGTAACTGTCAGGACAGTGGGTACCAATATCTGACAGGGGTCCCAAAACAGCAGAAAATAAGGGGAGGAAGGACAAAAAGAGTAAAAAAGGGAAATGAGAGCATAAATTTGTAGAAAAAAGAAACTGAATAAGGAAATGCTAACTGTGTGCACAGATGAGCAATCCTGTTTGTGACACTTCCAAATTAGATATAGTAGGTCTCTGAGATGGGTGGGTAATTGACCAGGCCAAACTTAAAAGAGATATTAATTAAATTATAAATACAACCTCCAGTCCTCTAAATGTAATAAAGGATAAAAACTTAAATATCTGAAGCCAAGGACAAAAATTGCTTGCTTTTTCCTAATATGTTTCCACAGTATGCCACCCCTAGTCATTTTGCCAAGCCTGCTCATCTGGCCTCATTAACTGTACTTATCATTACTCTTTTGTGGCTATAAAATATGCATGTAAGAACAAAAAATTTTGAATATTCAGTTTCACTTTTTCCTGCATATTTAATCTCTTTTTGCTGTAAAGATCCATTCAAATAAAGATCAAAAAAAAATACTTTATTAAAATGTAGTTTTAAGTTAACTTGAAGTAATTCATTTTGAATTTAATTCTTCAGTGTTTACCTGTAATTTTTTTTTCAGAATTATTTCAAAATTAAAAAATCTAGGGTCTCTGAATACGGTTTTGTCTGGAACAGTGGATGAATTGAAAGTCTTTGGAACTGTAAAAGTAAAGAAAGGTGGAAAAAATGTTGATTATGTATATTATTTTCATGCAAATGTAAGTGATGTTCTCCCTACAGCTGTGTTTGACTTATTACTGAACTGGCCTTGCTGTCAATGAGTATTAACTGTGATTCAATAAAAGAAACAAAAATCTCTTTCAGCCAGGTTAAAGGTTTGAAAAGAGTATAGTTGCCTGAATCCAGAGATGATGAATCTGATCCATAGCTACCCTGTTGTTAAGGATGTTGCTCATCTGCAGCATCTGACTGCTGATTTCTTGTATACAAGGAAATATATGAATGGCCATAAATGTAATATTCTGCTCCACTGTCTGATGGTGCCAGACAGTGGGGTGTTGGAGTTAACAAAGTAATTCTTCATGCTAATGCTGCTGTATTGTTGAATTCTAGGATGGGCAGCTAACAGTGTGAGCCCACCATCAAGACCACAGCCAGCACCACACAGCCTGAATGTGAATGATAGCAAAACGCCTGTGAAAGGTGATGGTCATGTATTTTTTCAGTTTCTTACTTTTCCTTTTTAGCTGTGACTCTTGTATCTATCAAGTCTTCTCAGTTACTTTGCTATAATAAAATTTGGTTTTATAGTAGCTACAGCTTAATCTTATGCCCCTAATTACTCTGCTTCAGTTTGATTACATGTATGATATGTCTGTGTATGTACATGATATTTTTTGCTAGGCTTCACTGCTAGTAGCATGTCAGAAGAGTAATTTACTATGTAATAAGGGAGCTGAAGCTACAGTTTCATTATACTACTTTAATTTTTGAGTCACACAGAATAGCACCTGCATGCACTTTGTCTAAGCTGAACAATGTTTTGAAGCTCTAGGATTTAGCATAGTGGCTAAAATACAAGCTACTGATAAGGCAGAAGAGCCCTAATTGCAAATTTTTTTGATAAACATATATCATGTCAGTAATCATCTGTTTGAAACTTAATTCAGTTCTTGCAACTGAGCCAAGTGTGCATAGTCCTGCCATCTACTGAGACAAAGCCCTGATGACTTTGACTAGGATTTTCTGGATAAGTGAACCAGGATTACATTGAATTCTTATTGCCAGTTTGTACCTATTCTGTGCATTCACATTGGATCAGAAGCAAAATGGAAGATGTTCAATGAAGAAGAAAGGGGTGACATGTATTCCTTCCCCTGACATTTTTTAGCTCAGCAGAAAAAAAAATAGAAGGTTAAGGTGTTTTGGAAGCTGTTTTGGAAAGTGGTGCAATTACACAGCCACAGAACTGGCACCAGCAAAAGGAACAGCCTTCAGCTACTTGGAAGTGTGTGGTTATGAAAGTGGCAGATATTGCAGCCTTGCAGACACCAAGATGAACATCATGCCAGGCAGAGCCTATTTTGTCTGTAAATTCCTTGTGTCACAAAGAAAACTTTCATGTGACATTATTGCTCTGAGTGGAAGAGCACATCTTATTTCACTATCAATATAATACATGCTGGGCATAGCATCACAAACACAAAGCAAAGCAGGAGACCTCTGTGAAGTATGTATGTCAGTGTGGACACGGGTGCAACAGTCCAGCTGCTGTTGGAACATATTCCCTTTTCACATTTTTGTTTATATTCCTCAAAATAATACTAGAAATTGTACTTGGGACTGGCTATCAAGTGTAACCCTTCTCCCTCCAGCCAGTGCCTTCCCATTAAAACGTAATTCCAGATGAGCAATGACCTTGTGTGGTTGTATACAGGGGAGACAGAACAGTCACATGAACTGGATTTAGGCAAAGGAATTTAGTCCTGTAAGAGAGGTTGAAAGTAAAATTTGCCTTCACTTTCCTTTTGCTGTTTTGCAGGCATGCAGGTGCGCACTCAAATACCTTTCATGAAACAAAGCTAGACAGAGTGAGATTGTTTCTATTTTTAATTCAAGTGTTCTTGTACTTACCATGGCAGGAGCCATATAAAATACACAGCAGACAGATGTAAAATGTTCATTCTTACTAAAGTTCTATATTCTGATAAAGATAGTGTTTTAAAATGCAATCATTCATTCTGATTTTCTTGTCAGAAGTGCCCTTAGTAATAAATTAAACAATAGCATGGCATTTGTTTGACCTCAGTCAAACATTCAGTCAGTTTTGTTTTAAAATAGCTGACAAGTCTGTACTTTTTCTTTTTTCTTCCTTTCTTTTTTTCTCTTTTTTTCCCCAGAATCTACAAAGAATCCTAAAGACTTGACTGCTTGGTTCAGTCTCTTTGCTGACCTTGACCCATTATCCAACCCTGATGCTGTTGGGAAAACTGATAAAGAACATGAATTGCTTAATGCATGAGTCAGCTGCCTCTGGTAACTCACATTCTTCCCTTCATCAACACTATTTTGGAGTTAAAAAAAATGAAAGTTAGTATGCTGTTGTGAAACTATAAAGTATGTGCCATGATAATAAAACTAAAGGGAATGAATCTCCTTTTATATAGGTGCAGTTATTTGCTCTTGTTTTGTATAAAGAGTTCACATTTATTTTCTACGTGGATTTACAAAAATAAGGTTAAGAATTAGGGCAGATTTCTTGCCAAATTAGATTATCTGCTAAAACACTGTCTTTGCCTGGGGTGATGCGGAGCTAACAGTGGAGTGAAATACAAATTGCAAACCTATTTTTTTATAATGTTTCTTGAGTAAATTAAAAACAAAATCATGTAACTGAGGAGGCTGCATGAGTCAAACATCTATCATGTCTGTAATATATATATTACTGCTATGTTAAGATGTCAACTGAATTTGTTTTGTTAGTACTCACAGTGAAAAACCTGTGCTGGGGCTAATTATTGAAGAAGTAAATTTGGGTCTGTGCAGCCATGGAAATTGTTGCCTTTCTGATTTAACTTATTAGACAAACTGCACTACATAAACAGAAGTCATGCCCAGAAGGCTTCTTTTCTGAGGTTTTTCTCCACTGCACCAACAGAATTTGCACCTGTTTGCAGAAGTTTCTTCAAACTGATGCTTTATCATGCCTTCAAACCATTCATGTTTCTGTTCTGAGAATTTTTCATCCCGTTTATTTCTGAAGCATGTGTTATTTTGAGCTTGTTGTGACATTAACTCTTTAATAAAATGATTTTGACAAAAAAACACAACTTTATTCCCACTGGAATGCTGGTGTGCTATTGCATTGATACATAACAAGCATCCAAAGATAAACATGACCAGTTTTAGACAGTACCTAACAGTTCATTTAGTTTTTGAATAGTAATCCAGTAGGACAATTAGAAAATTTGAACTCAAGCCCATGTCCCTCAGCCTCGATGCTTTTCTTTTACAGCAAAAGAAGGGGAAAAGGATCGTAGAGTAATAAAGGTTGCAAATGGCCTCCAAGATCATCAAGTGCAACTTTTGACCAAACACCACCATGTCAACTAAACCATTGCACTAAGTGTCACGTCCAGTCATTTCTTGAACACTTGCAGACATGGTGACTCTATCACCTCCCTGGGCAGCCTGTTCCAATGCCTGACCACCCTTTCAGGGAAAAAATTCTTCCTGATGTCCAACCTGAACATCCCCTGGTACAGCTTGAGGATATGTCAGTAGCCAGTTAAGATCACAAGTTATAGTTATTATATAGGACCTGCTTTACAATTTTTTATATTTGGCATTTTTTTTAATTTGGTTGATATTCCTTTTACATTGGTGAAGCTTTTCACTACCAGTTAACTGTACCTTCAGTTAGTTCTTGCCTCATGGTCTATTAGATAACTGAGTACCTGGAAATAAGTGTATAAATATAGAAGTTCACTGAATTGACCAGCTTCTTCTTGAGTGCAGTGGAACATCATTTGATGGCTGCACCAAGCAGTATTAATGTGCATTTGATTTCTCCATTAAAAAGCTGTCAGTGGATGGGGTGTTGGACTGACCAGAGTTCATCTAGCTGAACCCTCAGCAAGTTTTAAACAACTCTGTTCAAAACTGTAGTGTTTGTTGTCCCACCCCATAGCCTGGAAGTGTCAAGGTACTTCAGCTTTTGCCAGAGAAGTTCTTCAGATGCTTAGCAGTATATTTTCATGTATAATGGGAAAAGACAGTCTGATCTTCTCTTTGCACTGAGGCTGGTAACTAAGTCGGAGAACCTGATGTAGATGCCTAACACTTTTTAAAACAAAACTTTTTTCCTTCCACAATATTTCTTACTGTTCAGTACTGGCAGCTCCTTGCTCAATAAGCCACCTTTTCTGCGATGTATAACTTTCTTGAGCATTAAGGGGGGGCTGAACTCCTGACTTTGGGCTGCAGTTCTGGCAGTAAATAAGACATCTACAAAGGGGATTAACTGGGAAATACCTAAGGTTTACACTGGGGTGCATTTACACTTATGAGTGCTAGTTTGTACTCATAGCAGAGAATGTTTGCCCAAAATCCTCTTCATCTCAGGCTGTAATTATCTGCAATGCCAAAAATGTTAGGCGCTCAAGGGATAGCAGATTCTTGCAACTTTAAGCAAGTCTGTGGTTGCTAAATTTGCTCTGGATTACATTCATCTGGTAGTTGCTAAAACACTTGTGGACAATCCACTCCAGCACTTTTTAGTAGCTGAAGCAGTTAGGCTAAAAGCAAAGAAGAGACTATATTGACTTCAAAACAGCCAATTAACTGTTCCTTAAGGCTCAAAAAATGTATGTGTTTGTTTTTTAGGTCATAGATTCTAGACTTCCAGGATTAAAAACAAACAAACAAAACAAAAAAAAACCCACACAACCCCCCCCCCCACAGACACTAACTCCTGTCTCGATTGGACAATTGGGACAATTAAGAGCATTGCAGAAGTTCAGTGAAAGATGTTCTGAATCATCACCACGTTTTTAGGTCAAAAAGCATCTGAATGATCATCCCTTTTACTCAAGACTACTGTAGTTGCAGATGATATTTTCCTTCCTTTCCTCCCCCCCCCAAACCGCACTATCAAGTCATTCATTTTAAGAATTGGTTTCTTGTAATATGTAGGGTTTGAAATTAGCTTTGAATCCTTTGCAATGCAGTTTTTTCACACTTTCAAATTAAAAAAACAAAACAAAACAAAAAAAAACCCAAAAAAACTAACCCAAGAGGTACTTAAAATGTAATTGATTTTGCTTAAAGAAAAGCAATTGAAATCCCTATGTACAATGATGCATTATTATCATGAAGATTTATTGAAGTTGAAAACTAGAGCAAGAAAGCTAACATCCTGCAAATAAACATTTTTAAGGCAAAAAAAAAAAAATCTTAATTACAGAGTTATAAACAATACTTCCCTACTTCCAAGGAAGTGTCCAGCATGTGTTCCTCAGCAGCCTCAGCTGCAGAGTAACTCCCAGCCCCAGTGCCACTGTGAGAGGATTATCTGTGTTCAGCACTGCTTGGGACAACAGGGACAGTTCATCATCCTAGTAAAATTACAGATTGATTGTTCTACGCTCATCATGTTCATCTTGATTTAATATGCTTCATTCCAGTTGCATATTCTGGTTCAGTAGTGGATTGTTTTAAAATAAAAACAGCTGCAGAACCCCTACAGCTGATGAAAACAGTGGTAATTCATTAACAGTCTTTATTGTGAAGTTTATTAAAGTTGATGTAATTGATTCTGATGATTCAAGGTTTCTACAAATCTCAGAACAGCTGCTTCAGAGGAATTGGAGTGTGTGCCCTGGGAATTGAACAGCTCCTGGAGAAAACTAACAAAATAACTTTTCCAAGTAACTTTTCTGTCTTCTTAAGTGACCATGATTTACCTCTAACAGAACAGAATAGGACTTACTTACCTTGTTCCCTGCTGCTGTTTCCATATCCAGCATGGGCATGACACTGATGTATTTTGAAGCAGGACCACTTGGCCATAAGCAGCCACCTGCCTTCCCCCAACATCTTCTTAAGTGCTCTTCAAACTTTAGGGGCTGCACATGCTAGAAAAAAATTGGACCACCTGAGCAACAAGGTGACTGCGAGTGGAGAAGCAGCAGCAGCTTTGTTTCAAGTGGGAATACAAAGAATGTCATGGCCTACAAGTCCTGACAGCTCCAGGATCTGAGCCTGGAAAGGCTCAGCAGAGTAGGAGGTTGACATGAGGACAGCACCCAGGTGTTGGCATCATGCTGCCTTTTCCTGGAGCCTCTGTCAACTGCCATCTGCCACCTTCCATCATATCCACTGCAGGTGCCAGGGGATACTGGATAAGCACCACTGAGGAATGAATGCTGGTTGTACTGTCCATGTTTGCTGTTGAGAGTATGTGAGGTGGAGCCTCAGGGCAGAGAAAGAGTAGTTGGAAGATCCTGTCTTCTCTCAGTGCAGTTCCTAACAATGATTACTCAGAGCAGTAGTAAGACATTAACATAGTAAAGGTGCAGCTGCCAGTGTTGGGATTCTCCTAACTTTGTCAAGCTCCCTTCCAAGCATTTACTGTAAATCCCTCTCTGGTTAGCCTTCTTTTACAGTTTCTGCTCCTTGTAAATGTCTTATTTTTAAACAAGCCACCATATGGGGAAGGTAGGAAGCAGAGCAACCACCAGGCTTGCCAACAGCCAAGCAGCAGAGGCTTTGCCTCAGCTGAGAAGCAGAAATGCTGACATGGTCTAGCACCTTGCTGGCCAACTAAGCACAAATGAGCTTCTTTCCACTGTGGGGGCTGCCGTCCTCCCTCTGCGTGTGCTCAGCGCACGTGCACACACACACAGAGCCTCCCCTGTGACAGGAAACAAGGGTACCACAGCCAAACGGGCCCTGCAGGTTCAGCAAATCTGGCCTTGGGTAACCATCCAGCCTCCAGCTCCAAGGCACACTGGCTTTGCAGTCAGTCGGACCTGGGTATTCATTAACAGTGCTATCCTAAGCATAAAATTGACTTTTCCCCTCACTAATTACAAACCAGTATAGCCTTCCCTTTTGAGTCAGACAAGGTATTTGCCTGCACAGGAGTCCTCCCTGCTAGAGTGGGTCCAGAGAAGGGCCACAAAACCAGCCAGGGCTCGAGCTCCTCTCCGATGAGGAAAGGCCAAGGGAGCTGGGGTTGTTCAGCCTGGAGATGAGAAGGCTTCAGGGGGAGACCTTACTGTGGCTTGCTTTCAATTTATGAAGACAGTTTGTAAGAAAGACAGAGGGAGATACTTTATCAGGACCTAAGGACAAGGGGCAAGTTTTGAACTGAAAGAGTGCAGGGTTTAGACTCCATATGAGGAAGAAAATTTTACAGTGAGAGTGGTGAGACACTGGGATTGGTTGGCCAGGGAAGTGACAGATGCCTCATCTCTGATAATGTTTAAGGTCTGGTTCGATGGGGCTTTGAAGAAGCTGATCTAGCAATAAAATGTCCATGGCAGAGGGGGTGGAATAGAAGACCTAAACCATTCTGTGAGCCCATGGCACAGTGAGGAGGCTGCTTTTTGCCAGGCAGCAGTGCACAGCTCCCATCAACTGCAGCAAGCTTTAACTGCTCTACCATAGCAAAACCTTGATGTGCCCAGCCTTGTAATTAATCCATAGTGGGTTTGAAGTTTTGGCTCCTTGCAAAAAATTACAAAATTTAAATTAAAAAGGGAGAAGCATGCTGTAGCTTGGCTGGGTGACTCCACCTGCCAGCTATTTACACTGGTTGCTTTTGGAATCTTTATGGGGTAAGGAATACACACCAAAAAATGAGGAAAAAAAATAGATAAGGGATTTTAGAAGAGACAGCAGACCTACCTAAGCTGTTAAAGAAGTTACAGCCAGTCTTCTCTTTAAACAAAAGTCTTTCATCTATCCCAGAAACCTACTCTGCAGGGTGTTTGTTTTTTTTTCATTTTATACTTCCACATCTATTATGGCAGTAGGAAAAGACCCAGAACAGGTGCAGGAAGCCATATGCTTGCTTCATCAACAGGCTGGAGCAAGGTAAAAAAACAACTTTAAAAGTGCTACACAATTAAATCATCCAACCCTGTCTCCATCTAGGTGTGTGGATAACAGCTGGCTGGAGGAAACAAGCATTCTGAATGTAACAGGAGCAGGATCTGACAAGGAAAAAGACCAAACTCCTACTATTATTCCAAGTACAATCCTCAAAATAAACCCTTGACACATAAAATACAGGAATTGAAATCATGAGCCACTGAAGT